AGGGCAGGTGGTACGACGTTCCCGAGGCAAAGCTAGTGATCTGCTCGAGAACATTGCTGGAGATCTGGGAAAGGGAACGCTGCAAGTCAGATGTGACTGAGGGCTCCTCAGGTACACCAGCACTCTGAAAATCCTGCTGTGCAAGTGGCAACAGCGAGTGCCAGCACTGTGCAGGTAAAAGTGCTCACACACCAGGCACAAGCACACCTGTCCCTCCCTGTCCCTGAGCCAGGCACAGTGCCCTTCCCTTCCAAACCTGACAGCACACAAAATGTTGTTCTGCTGCTTCACATCTGAGTCTCAAACTGTTCCCAACAGCCACAGCACTGATTTCTGTTCTGGAGGCTTCAAAGCAGCAGCAATATCGCTTTTTTCTTTGCATCGTACTGCACTGTGATTTATTTCAATTGATGGTTTTCAGTTCATTAATAACACACAAACCAAACTTGTAATAAATTTATTCAAGAGACTAGACCAAAAGATGTCTTATAAATTAAGTGTCAAACTTTTATGTCTTTTATTTGTTTCGCATGTCAGCCTCTGGTATTAGAAAATACTTTCAACCGGTAACACGTGCAAAATGATGAAACTCTGCTGACACACTTGCACACTAACTGGCAAGTCCTAACACACAGCAGGAAAACCAGGCTTGTCCTTCAGAACAAATTATCATATCATCATAGAATGATTTGGGTTGAAAGGGACTGTAAAGTTCAACTCATTCCACCTCTCTGCCATGGGCAGGGACACCTCCCACTAGACCAGGTTATTTTGTATACAAAACACTCGTAAAACACAGGATTTCCTTCCCATTTGACATCCCTGCAGCAGAGCTAAAAGGCCACAATTTGATACAAGGGAAGTACCTGGGATGTCACCTGGTGTTGATCGAAATAGGACAGCTGCTGTAGTTTTGTGAACACAGTCTCCAGGGTTGGAAATGCCTCTGGTTTGGTCTTCCGGGCCTTCTGACCTTCATCCCCCACTGCAGAGATTTAAAAGGTTATTTCAGTCATTTTATATTTAATGGAGGCCTAGCAGTTTTCCATTGCTACTGATTTAAAAGACAATAAAAACCTTAATAAGTTTTACTCATGACTATATATATATATAAACCCTATTAGCTCCAGTTTTCTATTGTAATGATACACAACAGCACAAAACAATGTCAAAGCTGGCATGAGGTTATCCCAGTGCACAGAGGTGACACCCCAGAGAAGCTGAAAACACCCACATGGAGTTACCAGGAGGGTGAGAACACGGATCCTCACGTTCCAGGCTTTAGCCCAACACAAGTGTTTGCAGCCAATTGCTACAATGGAAAACAGGGATTTCTAGCAGTGGCAGCCCTTGGTCATCCCACTGCACTGTGGGACCATGGGGCTCTGCTCAGCACCTCACCCAGGGACTGCCAAGGGAAAGAAAGCCAAATTATGGGATAACATGCGTGTCTCCAGACAACGGTCACTGCAGGTGCCTGAACAGCAGCCTTAGAGCATTTACCACCCATTTCTGTAGTGCTCTTCTTGTTCAGGATTTTGAGGATGTCTTTGGTAATCTTCTTCAGCTGATGCCTCGCTTCATCACGCTCCTTACCCACACCATAAAGGAGAATCATGCGCTGGTTACACTCATGGCTTGAGGATTCATCCTGAAAAGAGCAGACACAAGTGAAGTCTCTTTGCCTGTCCCTGTCATCACCTGCAGAAACTTGGTCCAAGCAGCCCAGGCTGCAGGAAACAACAACTGACTGTGACACAAAAACATCTTCTGTGGTTGTCAGTAGAGAGGAAACAGTGTCAGAAGGGATCACTGAAGAGGGGGATAAAAACATGGAGGGGAAAATGCAATTGGACATTATGTACTCCATGTGTATCTACAAGGACAGAATCAGGGATGACCCTCCACACTGTCCCTTGCATCAATATTTCACAGCAGATCAGTAAATGGAAGACAGATGTTTAGAAATATATATCCTATAATGATGATGTACTGTATGTAACTTGGAAACTTGAAGCACTGCTCTGCAAGTTACTTAAGATATAAATATTTCCTTCAGTAATAACCTCCTCAAAAGCAACCAATCACTACTTCTTTCAAATACTTTAAAGGTTTTAAAAAACAAGACTGTGTACAAAAATAACACTAAAGAATCACAAGGCCGAAAGGGGCAGACAGGAGCACAGCTCTACGCTCATAAAATGTGCACAATCTGACAAATACCCACTCTCTTTACAAATAATGTCTCTGGAAACCAGACAAAGGCAGGAAGTAAACTACTAATTATTTTTTAAAGTTCTATTTATTTCTCTTTCTTCTCTACAGAAAACAGAAGCAGAAGCTCTAAGTGCATCTGTTGGAATCTGCCGTTGTCACTGGCTGAGGCACCAGTTCACAGCCAGAGGAAAGTCCAAGCCTCAGGACGGGGATGCTGAGCTGCTCCTCCTGCCTCTCCCTGCTCCGAGGGATCCCACGGGAACACTGCTGCCCACTCCCACGGTGAAGAGCTGGAGGGACTGCCGAGGACCCTCCCTCACAGCTTCCCCCGCAGGGAACACCCAGCATTCCACCACTTCTCCCGGTGTGCCACGGTAACCTTCCCTGGGCTTTGGGGGGAGAATGTGTCCATGCTCAGGGAGGACTTGTTCCCTTAGGATTGCACTGAACCTGTTACATGCTTCAGAGCAAAAGCCAATCTTTTCTACCTTAGAGGGAGAAATAAAACTTTGTGGCTCTGTAAGGCAGATGTCAGGGATTTGAGCATGAGCTGTCAGTACATCAACTCCTCCAGTGCCTGTTTTACACAGGCAGAGCTCAGACAAAGATACTGTCATGTAAATAACTGCATCACTACACTCCTGAATGTCACCCCAGCCCAGCTTGGGCCCCACCAGCAGCATGCACTTCTTCCCAACACAAAAATTAGAAGCAGTCTGAAAAGGTTGAACCCTTATGATAGGCTCACAACTCCATTTTTTTCTGTTTGTTTCTCCAGGGAGGGGGGACACCAGAGTGCAAATGAAAGCCACAGCCCACTTCAGCTCCTCCAGGAACTACAGCAACTGTACCAGCGACAGCAGGATCAGCCAAGTCATCTTCCCTTTGCTGTACACATTTCTGTTCCTGGTGGGCATCATCATGAATGGCCTGGCAATGTGGGTCTTCTTTAAAATATCCAGTAAATCCAACTTCATCATCTTCCTCAAGAACACTGTCATTTCCGACTTTCTCATGATCCTGACTTTTCCATTCAAAATTCTCAGCGATGCAAAGCTGGTATCGTGGGTCCTGCGAGGGTTCGTGTGCCAGGTCACCCAGGTTGTGTTTTACTTCACCATGTACATCAGCATTTTATTTCTTGGTCTGATAACTATTGATCGCTATCAGAAAGCCACTTCACCGTTCAGAACATCAACCCCACGGAGCCTTTTGGCTGCCAAGATCCTTTCCACAGCAATCTGGGTATCAATGTTTGCTCTTTCGCTGCCCAACATGATTTTAACTAACAAGGAGAGAACACCCAAGAACGTAAGGAAGTGTGCTCTCCTCAAATCCGAGTTTGGCTTAGTCTGGCACGAAATCGTAAACTACATTTGCCAGCTCATCTTCTGGGTTAACTTAGCAGTCATAGTGGTATGTTACATCCTCATCAGCAAGGAGCTGTACAGATCCTATAAAAGGACAAGAAGCACAGGGAAGGTATCCAAAAAGACTGTCAATCTGAAGGTTTTCATCATCATCGCTGTGTTCTTTATCTGTTTTGTGCCATTCCACTTTACCAGAATCCCCTACACCTTGAGCCAAACGAGAGACGTGTTTAACTGCTCTGCTCGGAACACCCTGTTCTACCTGAAGGAGACCACGCTGTGGCTGACATCCCTCAATGCCTGCCTGGATCCATTCATATACTTTTTCCTTTGCAAATCCTTCAGGAAGTCCTTGCTGGGCTCGCTGCGCAGGCGCGCGGCGGTGTCGGGGCTCGGGACGCGGACCCAGGAGCAGAACGAAGCGGATGACACGGACGAGACGCCGGTCTAGAGCTCAGGAGTCCGCGTGCCCCTTCCTGGCCACACACGTTTCCTGAGGGTGGAAGGGGCACAAATCCTGTGGAGAGTATCTAGAGCTTCACGGACCTCTTTAGAAATTGTCCTACAGATGAAGCATAAGCACCTTGGAACCACCACCACTGGCTGCAGAAATAAAAAGCTTGAATACCAGAGGAGACTCCCCAACCTCCATCCTTGCCAAAAAGGACTCCCCTGACCCCAGCTACGATGCCTGTGAGAACTGCTGGGAAGAAGTTTGAACTTAAAGGTAGAACTGTGAGGAAAAACTTTAAAGAGAATCATGAAATGCTACAGATAAGATCATGAACTGCAAAGATTTTGCAGAAATAGCTAACTTGTGTCTGTGATAACACAAGATCTGGGACATGCAGATCAAATCCACAGTAAAACGTAATTTTTCAATACAGGGAGCTGTCACCGTGTAGACAACTGGCAGACAAACCAACCTAGGCCAGATGTAGAGGAGCCATTTGTCTGTGCAGATGTTGGTAACAGAATAACACTGTGCTTATCACATTCTGTGCTTGCAATTCCTAATCCATTGACCAATAACTAAGAGTTGTATGTCAGAGGAAATTATTTCATAATCAGCCTTATCTTAATATGACTTAAGTCCCCAAATTCTTCCCCTTACTACATAAATAAACAAAACTGTACACTTTCACAGAGAATGATATATTACATTAGAAAATGCATAAAGTCCCAACTTACAGCACACTGAGATCTGGGGGAAAGACAGTCTCAGAGTAACATTTCACTGATAATTAAGGACAGTTTTTGCACCATACAAAATATTTAACCATTTCCCCTTGTGCAATTGGAAAACTTGGGAAAAAAAAAACAAACAGGGAAGTATTTTCAGGTACATAACATCTTCAGGTATCACAGGAACTACACATGAAATAGCCCATGGGCTATTGGAATAAACTGTGGTTCATTTATCAGCACTGCAAACAGCAGTTAAACAATTAATCAGTATGTGTCACCATCACACAAGAGCTCGGTCCTGCCCAAGCCATCGCCTGTCCACCCTTCCCAGTATGTATCCCTGCCTGCCACGGCACCTCTACCACTGAAACCCAATTTCCCAAGAAGTTAAAAGGCAGCTCACTCACTGCTCACTTAGTGCCACACTGAGCCTTGGGGTTTGTGCATGTCTAATAACCTCAGGATGAGTTAAACCTTCCACAAACCGTTTTGTGCCCTGCTGACGCTGGCCCCTGCCCCAGCTGATACAATCAGTAACTGGGTTCCACTACAGAGCACAGAGCACCAGGATTTCCCTGGAAACAGTGCCAGTCACCCCAGAGCATGCTCCACACCAGCCCACAGGCCCCCAGGCCCATCAGTTCCCACTAGAGCCCAGGAGGGATGTGCCAGATGCCCCACTCCCACCCAGCAGTCATTCCACACATTTTCTGCACCTACACCCAGGGACAGAGTAGCAATTACCTGGCAGCTGCTTTCCCTGATCTGCTGAGCTGTTCAGACAGCAGACACTGTGTCCCACACAGTCATCACTGATGGAACACTCAGAGCTACCTGGTACCTGCTGCCTTTGGCAGCTGGGAACAGCATCAAGAGCTCAGTTTGGAAGAAGACACAGAAGGTGTTGCATTGACATCAGTCCTGGAGCATTGCAGTGGACTGTGCCACTTTCACACAGTCCCTGAGGGGCAAACAGAAGGTGGGTTAGGCAGCCAGGGACACATCAAACTGATGGCAATGGCAAGGGTGAGCTTCATCCCAGCCATCCTCAAGGCTCTTCAATCTCTCCAGCCATTTAACACTGACACCAGCCCCCACATTAACAAAAATGCATCAGGTACTGATGGACAAACTCCCTGTCACACAGCTGCAGCCCAAGCACCAGTGAATCAACCCCGCCTGCCCCAAAGGGATGGCTTGACCACGAGGCACTTCCCACACTGCAGCAAGCACAGAGCCAGAGCTGCCACATCAGTGGGCAGGAATGGACTTACACAAACAGCTCTGTTCACAGAGAAATGCACCAAACTCCAGCATTACACCTAACAAACAAATTATCAATCCACAGCCTCCCATGCAGCAGCAGCTCCTGCCAGGACCAGAAAGTGGTTGTAACCAGCACAGTGCATCATCTGGCTACACAGACCAAAATAAACCAGGAGTTCTTTGGATCTCCATTCTGGAGATCCAAAGTTGGGCTCAGGTTCCTGTGTCAGTATTCCCAGGCCACAGGGAGAGGGGGCAGTTCCTGAGTACGTCGGTGCACATGGTTTTGGAGTCAAGTACCCACTGTAAAGTGGCTCTGAGCAGACTCTGGTCACACATTGACAATGACTAGTGCCATCCAGAACAGCGAATTCACACACACAAATAACAACTAGGAGCTATATTTGAAGATTATCCTGGAAAACTGTCAGGAAATACTCTGTGTTTGTTCATCCTGCATCTCTAAAGGAGCCAAGTCATAATGCCCAGAGCAGGTGCAGCAGGTCTGTCCCACACACACACAAACCCAGAAATGTGTCTGTCTTGAGGGACAGGGTCAGGCTTTCTTTACTAGTTTACGAGAAGGCAGTATCCTTTCTCATGCAGAGCAAAGGGAAGAGAGAAAGCATGATTAACTAACTCAGCAACTCATGAAAACGAGGAAGGAAACCACACAACACACCAGCAGAAAAAGGTCTGATCTTTCTACTCATTTCCCCTTTCTTAATACTTTGCTCAAGGCTTCTGTTGGCAGAGGAACAGTGGATGAGCCGGGGACAGTCACGGAGGCCTCTGCACCAGCTGCTGCAGGTTTGCTCAGGTACTTGCACGGCTGGAGCATTCGGGGGTGCGAGGGGTGCTCGGGGCTGATAACCACCAGCGGGCATCTGACCTTGGAAATGCTATCTACAGATGTAGAGAAAGCAAAACGGTGTGTGCTTGGAAAGAAATACCAGAAGGCACTTCCCCAGGAGTGCTTGGCTTTTGGCCCACAGCTGGGACATTTCTATGCCATGCTGAAATACATTTCCAAGGAAAGACAAACGGTGCTCCAGGCAATCTGCTCTGACACCCCTCTATGTCGTTACCTTAGGCCTCCAGAATAAGTATGTACCATTTTAACTTCTCAGGGGATGTTAGTTTGTAAACAGCCTAAGCTCGGGCAAAGATTTAGATTTTCTATGGACCACAAGAGAAATTGGCCAGTCTGGCATGCTCAGGTTTTGTGTTTATCCATGCAAACCTGCCATCACCATAAGGAGCACGTAACATTAAATGCAGAAAGTTACGTTTTGTGTTTTCTCTCTCCTTTTCATCCAAGTCTGTTTTAAGCAATGGGAGACTCTGCAAACACAAGCACTGTGGGTTACACCAGCGGAGCACCCTCCTCCCCGCCGTGCCAGCGCGACACCACCGTCACCCGCCTGCTCTTCCCAGCGCTGTACACGCTCATCTTCCTCCTGGGACTCGTACTGAACAGCCTGGCCTGCTGGGCTTTCTTCCACATTCCAAGCACATCAACTTTCATTGTCTACTTGAAAAATATCTCAGTTTCTGACCTTATAATGACCCTGATGCTTCCTCTAAAGATCCTGACAGACTCTGGCCTGGGACCGTGGCAGCTCAAAGCCTTTGTCTGTCGCTTCTCAGCCGTCATATTCTATGACACCATGTACATAAGCATAGTGCTGCTCGGGCTCATGGCTTTTGACAGATTTCTCAAGATTGTGAGACCTTTTGGGAAGTTCTGGGTGCAAAACCTGACCTCAGCAAAGATCCTCACAGGTCTGGTCTGGCTCTTCTTCATTGTTCTCTCTCTGCCCAACACAATCTTGTCCAACAAGACAGCGACGCCCCAGTCCGTGAGGAAGTGTGCCTCCTTGAAGAGTTACCTCGGGCTCAAGTGGCATGAAGCAGTCAACTATATCTGTCAGTTCATCTTCTGGACTGTCCTCATCCTCATGTTGCTATTTTATACAATTATCACCAAAAAGGTATATGAGTCATACGTAAAAACACAGAAGAAAGACAACAAAAGGGAAAAACGGATCAAGGGGAAAGTATTCATCATTTTTACCGTGTTCTTCTTATGCTTTGCCCCCTTCCACTTCAGCAGGGTCCCCTACACTCTGAGCCAAACGAGTGCCCGCATGGACTGTGGCCTGCAGAACCAGCTCTTCGTGGCCAAAGAGAGCACACTGTGGCTGGCGGCCACCAACGTCTGCATGGACCCCCTGATCTACATGTTCCTGTGCAAGCCCTTCGTGGAGAAGGTGTTATGCAGGAGAGTAAAGACCCTTCAGAGAGCGGTTCACAGAAACCCAAAAACTGAACTGGACACACAAGTGTCTCCTACCGAGTCTTGACTCCAAAGCTGCACGCTCTACTCTGTGTTCATAGAGAATGTGAAAAATGGTTTGGGTTTACCTCTGTTGGAGAAAACAAAAGGGTGGTTGTACTGTAATATTAAAACTTAATAAAAACAGCAAAATAGGGTTTCTATGTACACTCACTGGTCAGCCTCAGTGGGCAAAAAGCTCTCGTTCAAACTGCTAAGACAATCCATAAGACAGTAGGGTTAACTCTATATGCTTTAAACTACAACAGCTCACTAACACCTGAGCAGCTTACTGACTCCGGCTGCTTCTGAGGACAGTTCAGTTTTATTTGGGGTTAAACCCCAGAGCAGCTGACTGTGATGTGAGCAGTTCCTACCTTGGGTGTCATCTTGGCTGCACATCACAAGCCAGGGAAGAGGAAGAACAGAGGGAAGGACACGGTCCCTTCCTGTCCCTGTTTGCCTCTCTCACACACTTAAATACTTTCCTGCCACCCACACTGTTTCACCATCATTCCTCTCCACTCCCAGCAGCACTTTGGTGGAGGACAGTGTTGGCAATGCCCAGGTCCCCCCAGGGCACACTCCTTGTCCAGGCCAGCAGAGCACCCAGGGCTGCATCCCCCACAAAGGGCACCCCAGAGCTGCTGGTGCTCACCCCTACCCTACCACTCACCAGAAGGGAACACTCAGAGATGTCCCCCTTGGTGGCACATTTACCCTTCCCAGTCCCAACAACAGCCCAAGAGAAGGGAGCAAGGAACACTGCCTGACCCTCCCCACCCGGCTCACCACACCACTCACAGAGCTCTTCCTTGGCTATCCCACACAGACTGGGACTCAAGAGGAAGTACTTTCTAACCCAAAATACTGGAATTTACATCACTATTTTAAGACATGAAATAGATACCAACCACTTATTGGCTCCACCTCTACAAAGTAGAGCAGCCATGTCCCTTATCCCCAAACACCCCTTCGTCAGCTCCCCTGACAGCTTTATGCCCTCTCACATGTGCCAGACACTTTGATCACCACTTCACTGCTATTTTTAGAAATTCATTATTTACAGCAGCCTAATCCAATCCAGCAGGTTGCTCCATACATCCTGATTTTTTCAAAGCTGTTTTAGATTACTGTGCATTAATTACATCTGCCTTTGGGGTTCCCCAGCCTCTGCCACACAGGGAGATGTATGTCTTATTTAGCAACTTCTACCCACTGCATCTTCTCTACCAGGCATGTTACATACCTTCCACAGCTGCCACACTCTTCTACAGCTGGAAACTGAACTAATCCCCAGTCAGCTTCCAGTTGGTTATGAATTTCCCCATAAATCAGTGTTATCTCAGTCATTGTCTTGCTCTTGGGATTAAATGCTATTCAGGAATTAATTCCTCTCTCCTCACACGCATACAATGTTAACAGGATTAACTTTGCTCCTTTAGGAAAAGTAAATATATTGAATTCTTAGTTGCTGAAATAGTCACCACTTTAGCAACTGCTTAAAGGAACATACAGGAGGCTGGAGATGTTCCTCCCAGCCTACTGACACACTGTGGAAATGAACAGAGGGGCCTGAGCTAAACACTGGGAGAAGGGGTCTGTAAAACAGCTGTGACCTTCCACCAGGCAGGTGCCCACTGAAATTTGTGCTCCTGAACCTTGGACATGTGAGGGGAGAATCCAGGACAAACATCTGCAGCTCGGTCCTCCTTCTTGCCTCTGAATCCCACTGGCACAGCTAACACAGAGGTCCCCAGTGCTCACGACATCCAGCTCTGGATTTCCAGTGCAAAACTGAGCAGTGTGGCAGGGAGAAACTAAGAAAATGGTGAAGTAGAGAAAACTTATTCCAGTGTGGAGATTTCTTTTATTTTCTGATTTCTACTGCTTGAGATCGACGCTCATGTAACGCTGAGCACACACACGCTGGCAGCTCACGCAGCTCAGTGCTCAGAGCCTGCGTGTAGGGGCGGGTGTAACCACAAAATGGGCTGAGTTGCTCCTTAAATAAGGTGTGTGCCAAAGGTTTCTCAGGAGCCTTAATCATCTGTTTTTCAGCTGCTGTTTCTTAGGTAGGTAAAAGGGAGCCAGAGTTACTGAACTGTAGCAGAGAAGACAAGGTGACTGCAAGGACAGGACACCTGTTGATCCACTTAAGGGAACAAAAGGCCCTCAATTCTAAGACTTGGGATTTTGCATGTTTTTCTGTAAATTTTCAGATCCATGCCTCTAGATGGAGTAAAACTCATAACAGTTAAAATGCCTCACAGTTTAGGTCTCTGCTTTTTAAGGCTCAAAAGAAATACTCAAAGCAGTATTTTATGTTTTGCACCTGACCAAAAGGGAGATATGTTTAGAGAACCTGAGAGAAACCCTTGCTGTTTGCTGATACAGCAGCTGTATAGGACAGTGAACACACCACTCCCACCATACCTGTACTCACTCCAGCCCATCACACCAGAAAGCAGCAGCAGGGCTCACCCTTCCCACAGCCAAATCTTCCCTTGCATGGCTTGCCCTCACTCCAGACAACCTAGAAACTGGAAACTGGCACCAGGTCTTCAACCTGTTCAGAGAGATGACCCTTGTCCCAGGCTCCCATGGGCCAGAATTCACACAGAAACTACTGACATTTGTCCTTAACACCTCTACACATCATTCAGTTCCTGAAAGGAGAGCTACAGGGTACTCAGAAGTCAAGTTTGGTAGGAAATCACTCACTTGGGTACATAAAGGCTTATATAAATTTCTTTGTATTTTGTACTTTGCTTGTGTTTCAGATAAGGGAAGTATTTTATACCCTTGCCTAACACCTGCACCATCGAGGCCTCAGACTGCCTCTGCTTGGTGGGACAGCACAGTAAATCCTGAGTCCCAAACTCTGCTCTTCATACATGTCCTGACCCTCAGCACCACAATCCCCCTCAGCAATACATTATCCCCCCAGCCAGGTTCCTACAACTCTGAGGACTGAGAGAACTCTCATAGCACGCAGCAGTACTTTAATTAGAAATGCAAACAAACAATTTGCATCCTGAATAAGAGCTGGGAAGCCAAGCCAAGCAGTCAAGGCATGACCCACACGACAGCACACGCACAGAGCCAGCAGGGGAGCAGTGAAGGCACCAGCACAGGACTGAGCCTACAGCTGGGATCAGACAGCCAAAGCCTGGAACTTCAGGCTGTGAGAAACTTAAGGATGAAGAAAAAAAAGGACTGAACCTTTAAAGTCAGTTCTTAATTAGCTCCTTTCCTCCTTCCTTCCCTGTTAGTGACAGGCATCACACAATGACTGGAGTAATCCACCTCAGGAAAGGGGAAGCATCAGCTCTTCCAGGACACTTTCCCTGACAAAAGCACCTTCGCATCTGCAGGTGTAATACTGGAGAATCCTCCCTGTGCTGCAAACTCCGGTCCTGGTGCCACTTTTCAGAAACAGCCTGTCCTGTGCGTTACCCAGGTGGTGAATCTGCTTTAACATAACCCTGCAGTTTGTATTGCTAAATATGGCAGTGAAGGAGTTTTAGAATGAAGCAACCCAGTAATTGTTGTAATAACGTTCAGGTTCTTATGAAATCTGAGAGCTGCTCTCTAATCACCAGAACACAAAAAGGGACATCCAGCCTTTAAATAATATGAACAATAGTGAAGTTACAGGTTACCTTCAGTTTTTCTTTACATCAGAGCTTCACGTTCCTTCCGCGCTGTTTTTACGACAAACTCCCCACATTTCATGTGTCGGCTCGTCCCGACCTGCTCCAGCCTGGGAGCAGCCAGCAACACATCTGCGTTGGAGCCTGCTTGGGGATGCCAGGGCACTGGGTTCTAACCTGCCAAGCTTTACCGAGGCACCAAAACACAGGGATTTTTAAAGACAAATTAATGTGTCATTGCACCACACTCAAAAACCAAACAAGCCAAAACCCCATTCTGGTGTAGATTTTATTTGTTATTTGACCACTGCTCACACACCAGCTTTGGTGTGTGCACTTCATTCCCAGAGTGCTGGTTCATAAACACTTGGTCTCTGTAGGAGATTAAGTTAAATTCTTTAAACCTTTCAGTTCTCACTTCCAGTTTCTTCCCTCCTCCACAGCACATCCTGCTGTGCTTGTTCTGAGACCCCAGCCTGAGGGACCACCAGCATTGGCAAGAGCCTGCAGAACAACATGAATGGAGCCATAATGTGCTGTTGTGCTGTGTCTGGACCACAGCCCACAGCCTGAAAACACAGGAGCAGACACACCACACCAAGGCCAAGCTATGCCCCACACCAGGATGCAGGAGCTGGGCTCCACGGCCAGGATGCAGCCCAGCACTCAGCTCCAGAGCACACGCTCTCGTGCACAGCACAAGTGTGAAGCAGGTTGTTCCAGGAGGGTACAAACCCTCTACATACCCTCTGATTTTCACTCTCCTATCTCCAACAAGCAGCTGGAAGAGGAACAAAACAGAAGCACCTGCCAAACCCTGAAGCACAAGGGACAGCCAACTGAAAACAGACCAGAGTGGACCCGTCTTCCTACAACTTCATCTGCATAGTCTGCTTTGCCTTGCAAAAGCCAGTCTTCAAAGGCGAGCTGTGCCAGAAGCCTCCTGTGATCAGTGACTGTGCCTAACTCAAGGCAAGAGGGAATTTTACAGTCTGCCCACTGTGGAAACCTGGGATTTAGCAGAGGGGTGTCTGGTCTCAGCAGAGAGGGGCTGGGGGCTCAGTCCCTCAGATCTTCAGGGAAAAAATAAAAAATGTGTATGGAGAAGCGCAGAGAGAACATGCAGAAAAGGGCCTCAGCAGCCACTGCTCTCAGAGCAGGGATATTATTTTTTCTTTTCTCCTGATTTCTAACAAGGGAGACGGGTATTTGCTTTCTTTTAAAGGTGACAGAAATAGAAAATTACCCACTTGATCTTCCACTGACACAAAGCAGAATTCTGTCCCAACAGAACTGTCCCAATTTTGTCCCATGATTGTTTCAATGCTCTTAAGGCACTAAATAGCCTGATTGTAAACTCGTGTAGAGCCAGGACCACTTTAGGCAGGGCTGTGAGAGGCAGCAGGCTCAGTCACTCTTAAGGATCATCACAGCAGGAAACAGGCACTCCAGCCATTTCAGCTGTTGTACTGAGTGACAGACTTAGCATTCTGCCT